TGATAATGAAATTGTAAAGTCTCCAAAATTGTTTGCAGCAGCGCTCATCATTTCAATATCAATATCTTTGAATAGTTTAATGATGAGGGAGTGACTGATCTCCTATGTATCCTACCTTTAAATGAGGATATAGTACATGGTATAAACTTAACAATTATATGAACTTGCTATATATAAGTTTAGACTTATTATACATTGTTTATCCTTGATAAAATTTTCAAAAATTTTATCATGAAAAAAAAAAATAATAATAAATCACAGTAACGGACGAAAAATTGAATATTTTATTATAATTTAAGATTATCAGGATATTAACCCGTTTGAAAAAGAAAGAAACAAATGGATTGGGTGGAGGGCAGAGCGGCAGAGAGGCTCTGCAAAAAGCTAACGTCGTTATCTTCCCGCGTAGAAACACTTTCTTTCTCTCTCACCTCCTTTCCCCCGACACGGAACTAAAATAATTAGTTTGATGGCGTCAATTTCAGCGGCTGTAACTCTGCCGCAATCCCTTACTTTATCCTCGGGAAGAACTTCAACCAGAGCAAGAGTACGTCCTATCCACGGTCAAATGCATCAGTTTCGTCATAGTTTCTATCAAACACTCAAGTTTCTCTGTATGGTAAAGTAAAATGTTGGTTATTTCATTTCAGAGAAGGTTCAGACCAATAGCATCTCTTTCAGTGCAGCAGCAACAACAACAACAATCTCAGCTGATTGAGCGAAGAAAAGTATTGGTGATAGTAGCTGTTGGGTTAGTAGCTGGAGCTCTCTGGGATTCTTCCAAGGAAGAAAATGGAGTGGCAATGGTGGCCTTATCTGGATTTACTGACAGTATATTTTCTTTTTTCAATTAGGAATTCCAAGTTTTAATTTCATTTGAATGTTTAATTTTTATGCATGTCATTTTCACCCCTTAAATCTACTTCATTTTTACTATATTAAAGTCATAAAATGTACACAAATGATTGGAATTTGGAACAGTGCCAGAACTCAGGGGAAAGGATTATGGGAAGAGCAAAATGCGGTTTCCAGACTACACAGAAACAGAATCAGCTCTTCAGTACGAGATCACTTTCACTTATCACTTTGTTATTCCCTTCCCCCCCCCCCCCCAAAAAAAAAAAATCCATTGTTGCCTGTTTAAAATTAAATTTAGTGTTTCATTGGTATGTGTGTGTTCTTATTTAAAATTTCAAGGAGAATGTAGGACTTGCGGGTGGAGGATGGCCCTACACCAAAGATGGGAGAGACAGTTGTGATAAGCAACAATTTTCTAAATGCTTGTTAAATCATGTTGACGGTAAATTGTTTATGTCACCCAAAATTTCCATAGAATAAGCATCCAGTTGAAACAATTTTGATTTTGGACTGAATAAAATTAGTTGTTCTTACTTAAAATATTGGGAATTCTTTGTAATTTTCGTAGTTGTTTAGCCAGTTTCATTTACAGGGATGAGCATTTGCACAATCTAAAGATGGAAGCTCTGAGAAGCATTTGACAAAAATAGCATGATATTATGCCAGCAAAACCTAAATAGATCCTTCCAGACAGCCAACTTCCTTTATGCTATCATACAATGAAGTCTTAAGAGAACCATTATAACAGAAATGGTTTGTCTTCAAAAGTTGTTGAGTCTGGAGTTTGGCAAATTGGGCAGGCTTACATTTCAATTTGTTAAGATGAAAATCAATTGAATACCTGCAAGTTTAGTTCATAACTACTATTATTATTATTATTTTTTTCCAAGCTAGTTCAAGCAGTTTTTGAGCTACGAACCATGTACTGTAGGTTGATTGGGATGGTTACACTATAGGATATTATGGCCCATATTTGAAGCTAGAAACAAGACCAAAGGTGGTTCCTTTGTGGAACTTAATGTTTCTCATCTTAATATTGGAAATCATTGTTTATTGGTGGATTATTTCATGATTATATCTGGTCTAAAATATGCAGGGAGATAACAAAGACTTTCAAATTCAGACTTGGATCCCGAGGAGTGAGTGGTGGTTTTTACCGAAACATATTAAACAGTGTTCTCCTTACCACTCAGGAATGTAGAAACGTAGTTCTAATTCACCTTCTAGTTTTTGTGATTTAAAGCAAAAATTTATTGCAATATGATGATTTTTTAGGATTTATGCTTGTCTATGGTCTCACATGTTCCTCAAGTAGTTTCTTTTTCTCCTTTTTTAAATTTATGAGCTACTGTCAAAGATTTAAGATATAAGTAATTTTCCTGCTATGTCCTGCAGCAGCATATTGAGATTTAGATGGATATTGAGGACAATCCAATGATACAAATATCAAAATAGAAACTTTGGATGAGATTTTCTCGTTACTAATTATTCAGGTAATTCTAGCTTTTGAGGAAGCATTTTCAGGAATGGCACAGGGAGGCATTTGAAGGTGCCTGTTCTGCTTTTCTGACACATATGACCTGGTTCAGATGTATATACACATTGCATACTCTTCTGCATGCAACATTAATTTTTGAAAATAAATCCTCTTAGGACCACGAGCAAAGCATACTTTAAGAGATAGACGCTTGACAATGCTTTTAAGTGCATTTCACTGCTTCTACTAAATCTGAGCTAAGAATTTAGTGCAGCCCAAGCTGTAAAGCTTCTGGAACCTGTTGATGCCAGATATTTGATGCCTTTTCCCTTGATCATGAAAAGAAAACGGATTAAGTCATTTCTTTTTGTGAGCATATTGTGTGGACGTTTCACAGTTTACTTTCACAGTGATGCAGGATCATAGTGCCACCAGAACTGGGATATCCTCAAAATGTCTTCAACAAAAGAGGCCCCAGACCAATAACCTTCTCGCTAAAATTCAAGTCACTGCGGTGATATCTTGGGTTTTCTTTGTCTTTTTATTCATATGATGCAGATTTTTAGCTTCTTCCACAGGGTCAACGAGTGCTGGATTTTGTGCTCAGGAACCAAGGGCTTATAGACAAGACCCTACTGTTCGATATCGAGCTCCTTAAAATCATTCGAAACTGATTTCTGCTCGAGGGTCGTCATGTTTCACTGACAACATTTAGGGATTGCATTATATATTGAGATTAGAAATTGTGTACAGGCCATCCTTTTTAGCTGGTAATAGGTTCATCATGACAATGAATCACAAGGGTGCTTTTTGTTCCAGGGAGGTTTTTTGATACTGAGTACAGAGAGCTGATGTGTCATCCGGTGGTGAAAATATTGGAAAACATTGGGCAAAGAATGTGGAGGATCTCTCTTGTGAAACTAGAGAGCTCATGTCTCATTCACTAAATTCTAGCTATTCTTGAGATAACGAATAATTCTGCTAATTGGTTTTTTGAGATTTCTTTATCTTGCCAACTAAGAGATGACGGTCCAAAGAAAGGTCTGGCTGGCCATTCTATCCAAAATTTGATATTCCAAATCCTCATTTCAGTGTCAAAAGTTTTGTAACATCCGTGTGTATAAAATATGGGTTTATACTGTTGCTTTTGCTGGTAATGATAAACGATTGCTTTTCTATACACATTTCGAAGTTTGTTATTCCTAAAATTTTCTGTTGCAGAGTTCTATCTCTCACATGAAAGGGTTCAAGTAGGAAGTCGTGTTTTTATACATAGATCCTTAACTACTGATGCGTTTTCACTTTGCTGCCTCGCCTGTCTTGTTTGGCAGATGAATTCTTTACTTCATGCCTACAATTATAATCACCATTATTATTGAAGAAACGACTAGCTGGCTTCGTTGAACTTGAATGTGCAGTGCGAAGCAGGCCAAGGATGAAGGTCAACATCTCGACTCAGGTTGCACCCATGCATTGCTTACCCAGATTCCATAAATATGTTCATATCCAAAGTCAGCCGTAGAATACAATCAGTTAAACCATTTTCTGCATGCCGCCAATAACATCGTTTTATAAGCGCTTGCTTGAATGTCAGATTCACTGCAATGTTAATAGTTGATTCAGATGTTTTGCTCTGATAGAATGGCAGAACTAGTCGAGGTGGAGTAGAATGCCAAAGCAGCATTCAAGCTCTACAACTTACTCTCTTACCTGATTTTGCTTTTGAATCCCCAACTACTACATGAAAGAAACTATTTCTGTTCCTCTTACTCGAGGAGTTCATATTCTTGAGTGGTAAGCAGAGAACAGAACCAGTAGTTGAGAGTTGAGACTACTACATCGGGAGATTGTTGGTGATGTAAATATATCTACTATTGACGCAATGAAATGGCCCCAAGGCTAGGATGGTTATTGGGCTTCTTTTATTCCGGTTAAGGTTGAAAGCTGAAAACTTACAATAGCGATAATGATAGCTTAGGCAAGAGATCCTGCTCATCATGTTACTATCCATATGCTAACTCACCTCTAATAGATCATAGCCCAAACATAGGATGGTCATCTGGCTGCCTACTTCTGACAACAAGTACGAATGCTGAAAAATTACAACCCTTATTCGAAGGTTTTAGTTACTAAGACTTGTGATAACAATGACCTTCTTAATTTTGAATTAAATTATTTAAAATTAAATTAATTAAATTAATTCATTAAATTATTCAAATTTAAATTAAATTATTTCCGAATCAAACTTATTAGTTTTGAAAATTAACTTATAAAATTTGATTTGATTTATTTAATTAATTTTTTGATTAATCAAATAATAAAATACATTTAATTGAAATTATATTTTTAATTTTTAATTTTTAATATTTGAAACAAATTAAACAAAACCATTCAATGAAATATTCAAATAACAAATTATTAAATCAAAAACTCTAACTTATAAAATCAAACACTCAATTTCATATATTTTCAGTTTTATATTGAGTTATGTTACGTTTCAATTAATTTGATTAATTTAGTTTATGAACCCAAGTAATCAAAATCAAAATTTTTTTAAAACTATTTTTGATAATTACTAAAATTAATTTAATAACCAATGATTAACTGAATTAAATTGATGAATTAATTTGATTCATTAATTCAATTAAAATTGAATTTAGGACGACATAAGTTCAGAACAGCGACACCAAACTTCGCTCATAACGTAATCATAAATATTGTAGCAATGGACGAAACCTATTAGCAAACAGAATCCAGAGAGTGCAATAGTTAACACAAATAAAACGAAGTTTGACACAGAACAAAAAGGCCAACAACATTCGACTAAAATAAATTAAAGCTGCTAGTTACCCACAAACATTACCTAGCTAATTAACCGAAAGCTGTCGCCGCTTGTAACGAACCATCACCTTTCCCTTCACACCAACCACCATAGCATTCCAGTCAATCTCAGGAAATGGTGACACAAGCTCCAATTCAAAGTTCCTCAACAAATGGCTCCATATTGCCTTTATCTGAAGGTAAGCAAAAGGTTCACCTAGGCAACCATGCCTGCCACCTCCGAAGGAAATATATGAGAAAGCCCCAGCCGCCTTGTCTTCTTCCCTCCCGATAGAGAATCTATCAGGATCATATGTGTCTGGCTCTTTGTAAATGTAAGGAAGCCTGTTTGCGAATGCTGGTGATGTTGCGACAATGTGACCCTTCGGGATGTCATATTCTTTCCCATCTCGGGTTTTTACACTAAAATCACTGTGTGAGCTGCGTAGAAGCATAATCAGTGGAGGATGAAGTCTCAGGGCTTCCTTAATGCACCGATAGAGGGTGTCCATCTCAGATAAGATATCATGATCAACCTTGCTTCCATGCTTTTGCATTAGTTGTTTCTGCTCCTCCAGCACAGCAGAAAGGAACTCCTTGTTACAGAGTAGATAGGCACCAGTCCAAGTAGAGGTGATGGAACTGGTATGCTGCCCAGCAAAGAGAGCGGCAATGAGCAAGCCAGTTACTTCAGCCTCAGTAGTTGGGCGACCATCTTTATACTTAGATTCAATGAAACATTGCAACATGTCATTCTCTGACTTGCCAGAACTTTTACGGGTAGCTATGATATTTGCAAATATTTCTGCAAGCTTCTTTCGAGCTCGGTCACGACGGCGATGAGCAGGGATAGGCAGGTAAGGGAAGATAACACTGATAGGGAGCATGCCATTGTCAAGATCATGGAAGAGTACAGAGACATCATCAAAAAGCTTATCACGTACTTCTCGACCCAAGAGACACCTACTAGCAGTCAAGATGATGAGATGCTCCAGCTCATACTTAAGGTCCACCTCACCACTATCCCCCCATTTTGAGAAGTAGTCCTGCCCAATTCCATAATGATTAGGCAACAAATCATGTCTACGGAGTTACAACATTATGAACATATGTAACAGTGAACCATACAAGGAACCTTGAATTCAGTACAAAAGTCACAAAATTTCTCTTTTTTTTTTTTTTTTGGCCAAGACAATTTTCTCTTCATTTACATGTCATTTGACCTCCCAAACCAAATGTACCTAGTGTCTATTATCCTTTATTCCTTTTTATTCATCAGAGTAGTCCAAGAAGCAAAATCAGTGGGTTATGTACGGGAAATCATAAAGTAATAGCAAGCCACTAACGCACATTGTTTTTCAATCATAAAGGAAAAAAGAGGTGGGAAGATGTATTTTATGCATTAAGCACAACTTGAAACATAATGCTTGAATTGATTTTAAAGAAAGAAATATCAATGTTCAAAACAGCTTTATTAGCATATGCAGTTTATAGGTCAAACTTCAGATACGCCAACTCCTAAGAAGTCTCCTGACTATCTCAAGTCAACATAATCCAAATTGAAATAAACAAACTGCTTTTATTCAATTGTGCTGGTTCATTTATTATCCACCAAACATCAATTTACTCGAAAATAGAAATGTAAACTCCATCCATGTTAGTTGAAACTTCATTTTCCGTTGTCAGAGTATCATAGTCCAACACTATCGAATAAAAGTCACTTTTTTTATTTTCATTTTGTCAGGTAAGGGGTCATCAAATAGTATACAATATATAAACAGCAAAAAGAAAAGTAAACCAAAATTTCTAGCAAATCACTCACCTCAGCTTCTGTAACCATCTGATCCACATAACCCTTAAGTTTATTAACTCTAAGGGCTTCCGTAAAGAACCGGAACTGCTCTTGCCTTATTGTGTAATCCACATCAAAAACCACACCGGGGCCGAAAGTAGGCACATTGAACTGATAAACTTCCTGTTGGCTGAGGTCTGATTCTGAAGCCTTAAAGAAGTGTGCTGAAACCTCAGGCCCAATCAAGAAAGTTATCTTCTTGCTAAACAAGTTCAACGTGAAAACACTGCCAAGCTTTGGGTACTCCTCCCGGAGCATCACGATTGGCCCTTTCATGAATCGAAGGAGGCCACCAAGTACCGGCCAGGTTTTGACTACTGGTGGCACCCGCTTCTTAGATCTAGGCATTATGAGGAAAGATATGAGCTTGGCCACTACAAGGGTGGCTCCTATGAGAATACCCATGTTCAAAATCTTGTCATTTACTTCCATGGCGGCAATGTTTTGATAATTTTCTATCAGCTCTCAGCTGAAAATCAAAGAAAATTAAGAATTATGAAGCTTAAGAAGAAAGTTTAGCTGCGCAGAAGAATCTTTAATCAACACTCTCTTGAGTCAATAGTTTGACTAAATTGAGTCCAGCATTCCACAACCTAAAAGAAAAAAAGTTCAAATCGTCAGAAAATAGCAAAAATTGGTTCTGCTTTTCTAGCAATCTTTTGTTACATAAAATGTTTTTGCAGAAAATCAACAAGAAAACATTATCCAAAATGTAAATTAATAGTCCCACGAATAATGTAAAAACCCAGAAATTATAGCTAAAAAAAGAAGGAAGACTAAGTACCTGATTTGAGATTCAAAATCAGGGTAAGTGTAGGCATAATAGACGATCGGATCAGGAGTTGGTTTTAAAGGCAGATTACGATTAGTGAGAGTAAGCACTGTTTTATAATCGAACCGAGCTTGATTCGAGCCGGCGAGTTGCGTTGGCGCTGGTAAAAACCGTGGGTCTCCAAGTGGCTGTTTTGATGTTGACGTGTCGGCATATAATTGGATGAGTAAACTTATTTATAATCCTGTTACTTTGTTTCGTAGCATAGGATAACACGTGAGAAGTCGGAATTTAAAGAAAGGAACGAATTTAGGCTAAAATTTATGAACTGCTTCTGGTTCTGTCAGGACTAGTGGGCCTGGAGATCATGACCTACTGGGCTTATGGCTTTCCCAAGATTCTCCTCTCCCGGTCCATTACTCGATTTTCCATTTTATTTTTGCCAAAAAATATTTATAAATATTTCCCAATTTCCTTACCACTAATTGTCATCTAAAGCATGTTCTTTAAGTATTATAACTTTAATATGATTAGCAATCACAAGTTAATACTCTGTAAAAATTATAAAGGATGTTGTCGTAGCATTGGAATTTAGATTTACCTAGATTTTTTGTATTTATTTATTGCCAATTTTTTTAATCAAATAATGAAAATTGAAAACCATTTATAGGTAAACATAAGTTTTTATATACCATAAATTCAAAAAAAAAAAAAACCATAAAAAAACGTACATGCAACTAAAATTCATGATGTCCTTTTATCTTATTTATTAATCATAAATTGTAAATAAAAATAGTTCAAATGATTGACTTTTTTTTATGGCTATTTAACACAATGATTTATTAGAAACATTTAGATAATAAGAGTCTCTTTAGAAACTAGGGTTTCCATAATGGTAGTTAGGGAGAATGAGGGTCTAAAAGGTGGGATTAAATATGGAAGAGTAGGGGCTAGATTGGGGTAAAACAAAAGTTAAACCAAGAAGAAATAAAAAGTAGGTGTAGGAGGATAAGATGTTTGGTTTGGTCACAGAAAAATACTTAATGGGTGTAAAAATTATGGGTTATGAAACGATGAATAGTGGTTTTGAAGGATACGGGGATAGTGTCTAAGGTAAGATTGGAGAATACTGAAGGCTATAGTGGCTAGCCTTTAACAACCACCAAGTAGCCATTAAGTGTATATCTTGAAACTATGAAGTTATAGGGTCAACCTTAACATTGCAATTTCTTAAAGAGCTAAGGAAAATTTTGATCGTGATGAGGATTGGAAACCAAAAATGAACGAGCTAAACTAGATAGGATTTATTTGAGGTTAAAATTTGATGATGGTGTTTATGAGGATCCATTAGGATTGAGTGGATGATTGACTTTATGGTGGAAAAGAAATATGATGGAAGCTAATAATAATGTAATAGATAATTGGATAATTGATAATCATAATGGTGAAGTGTTTAGGGTTTTTTGGATATGTGGAGCACTTGTTTATGAAGATAGATAATTTGAGAGGGAATTAAAATAAAGGCTAGGGGATGGATATGCCTTGCATATGTATTGGGGACTTTCATAAGATAAATGAAAATGATGAAAAAGATAGGCGTAGATTGAAAGCAAGGAGAAATAATATTAGTTTTAGGCATTTTATTAATGATTGTAGCTTTATTGACTTATCTTTTAAAGGTCATTGGTTTAGTGAAAACAAAGGGAATATCATTCAGGAAAGATTAGTTAGGGCTTTTGTAAACATGGAATGGGTGGAATTGTCCTAATACAATAGTTTTCAATCTTGCGGCTGTTAATTCTTACCATTTCCCTATATTTATGGATATTGACCATTTGAAGGTTTAAATTTGAAAATATCAGGGCATAGTTTGAAGAGTGCGAGATGATTATAAAAGAAGGATGGGGGGGAGTTGTGTTAGGGATCAAATTCTTTCATATTGTATATGAAGTTAAAAAGGTGTAGGAAATTGCTAGTACAATGGAGCAAGAATAATTTAGGGAATAATAGGAAGGATGATAGAAGAATTGATGTTGAATTTATAAAAGAAGGATGGGGGGAGTTGTGTTAGGGATCAAATTCTTTCATATTGTATATGAAGTTAAAAAGGTGTAGGAAATTGCTAGTACAATGGAGCAAGAATAATTTAGGGAATAATAGGAGGATGATAGAAGAATTGATGTTGAAATTTTCCAAAATTCAAGGTGAAGTGAATATGGGGGAGAATCTAGGAGAACTTAAGGAGGCTGGGTTTGGTAAAGAGAAGAAAAATACTGGTTAGAGATTAAAACACCATTTTTTCATCAAACAACTAGGTTAAGGAGGCAATACAATAACGTTTTACGACTTAAAGGTGAAAATGGGGATTGGATTGATTACCCCAATCTTGATCTCTTTTAGATGTAAATGAGTTTAACGGATTAACAAAACAGGGTATGTAAGATAACACATTGTGGAATTGGATTTATAAGTACCTAGCTAGAAAATTGTTTCTTTCACCTCATTATTGATTACCTCCAATAATGAGGTGAATGAGTTTCTCACCAAAAATGTTTTAATAGAGGAGGTGAACAAATAGTATTCTAGCTAGATGCTTATAAACTCTGAGGTTAGATGATTTTAATGGTTTTTTCTATAAAAAAAATATTGGGGAATAGTGAAGGATGATGTTTTTAAGATAATGATTAGTTTATTTTATCATAGGAAGTAGTTAAAAAAGAAGAATAGTATTGAGATTGTTCTTATTCCTAAGACTAAGGCTTTTAAGTTGGTGATATAAAGGTCTATTAGTCTTTGTAATTTTGTACATAAAATCATACACAAGGTCATGTTGAACTATTTGAAGCCTTTTTTGGGATCTTGATAACTCAAAATCAGATGCTTTTATGGGGAAAAACAAATCCATGATAATATTTTGATTGCTTTAAAGGTGTTTCATTATCTGAGGCTTAAGAAAGGAAAAAGGAATGAAATTGTTGTGAAAATTAATATGAATAAAGCTTATAACAAAGTTGAGTGGGATTTTTTTTGGAAAAAGTTTTGCTTAAAATTGGTTTCCATTCATAATAGGTAGGATTGAAGTGTGTGACTACTATTTCTTACTCCTTGATTATAAATGGAAAGCCTTTAGGTAAGTTTCTTCCTTCTAGTGTTCTTATGCAGGGGATCTTCTATCTCCTTATCTGTTTTTTTCTTTTTTATTATGGATGTTTTGTCTAGAATGATATTAGTTGAAACTAAAGCTCATCATTTGAGTAGTGTCAGACTAAATAAGTTTTGTCCAATAATATCCATTTATTTTTTTGCAAATGATTCCCTGTTTTTCATTGTGGCTAATACTTTGAAGTGTCATAAATTGCGAAGTGTTCTCGAGTCCTTTTCTGTGGTATCGGGGCAAGATATGATTTTGAATTGAACAAAAAAAGTCTTAGTGGAGTCTCCTGAAAGCTAGCTCTCTCTAGAAGGTTAGTACGTTTTACTCGGTATACAAGTGAGTTCGTGTTAGGATTTATCTAGTTAGGTGGTCTTTGAGTCTTAATGGGTGGGAGTAGCGTAGAAAGTTTGTACGGATGTAGGATGAATTGAAGGGTTTATGGAAGTAGTTACAGTTGACTGAAGAGGAAAGAGAGGGGATTGAAACAAATACTTTGGAGACAAATAATGAAAGACAAAGCAAAAAATCATGGTTGGTAGGGAAATTGTTAACATCGAGGGCTTTTAACAAAGAGGTAATGAAGAGTACGCTTACGATAATATGGCAGTTGGCCAAACAGATGGAGATTGTAGAGTTGGATGATAATCTGTTTCTCTTTAAATTTTCAACAGGCTCAGACATGAGAAAAGTGATCGAAAGATTGCTATAGAGTTTTGACAAACGACTGATCTTGTTTAAGGAATATGGTAGTAGGATGCGATCGAAGACCTATGTATTTTCAACTACCTTATTATGAATAAGGGTGTATGGCCTGCCTCAAGGAATGATGAACTTAGTGAATGCGACTAGGATAGAGAGGAAGATAGGTGATTTCAAGTCGCTTGATGCAACCCTAGAGCAAGGGGGATGGACTCGATTTTTACATATTACGATCAAAGTTGATATTACAAAACCTCTATGGAAGACGGTGCTTCTCATTGATGGTGCAGAAGGGAAAGAAACATGGGATAGGCTATCCTATGAACGGTTACTAAGGTTTTGTTACGCCGATGGGAGATTGGGTTATATTGAAGATGAATGTAAGGGAAGGAAAGGGGATGGGGACCAAGCTAATTAAGCAAGGCAATACGGTACATGGCTTTACGCTTCACTACTAAAGAACAGACCATCAGTATGGGAGAAAGGGCAGGCAGATAGCAAGGGTCAAGGGAACAACAAAGGAAGTAGCCATTATAACAGATCTTATATGACAACGGTTGACGGTGGAGTTATGCAAAAATTGGACTTGGCATCCAACCAAGGGATTTGGATGTGCTTGAATCACAGGATTTGATTAGTAATGAGGGAGCTATTTATGGGATAATGATAAGAATTTACGAGATATGAAATCCCATAGCTTGGGTTTAAAAAGGCGTGGTTTAATTCTAAAGAGGTTAACCAGCAGTTTGAAAATACAAATGGGCCCACGGATATGGGCTTACAAAAAGAAGAAAACAATGATAAAGACTCTAAACACAGTAATAATGGACCAAATAAGGATAAACAGATCAATAATAATGTCTCATGCAGGAAAATTTATAATATACTGATAGAGTAGCTCCAACCAGACAGTGAAAGCATACATACACGAAGGAAAAATCGGTACCTACAAAGTATGCATGGGACGGTTGAGAAAATATGTAACGTTGGGAACCAGGGTGAGAAAGTGAGGGCAATCTCCAAATTCAAATGGAATAGGTTAGCAAGGTTAGCAAAAGAGACTCAATCAAGCAGGCAGACTGAGATGGGAAAAAAGAAGCACAAGGACTGTGTACCAGAGGATATGGACATAGACTTGATAATGAAAAGGAACAAATACGATGATGATGAGGCGAGGTAGAATTTTTATGATGAAACGGTAGTGACTGGGTTCTAGTCCCACCGAAAATAATAAGGTGTCTAGCTTGGAACTGCCATGGACTTGGGAACCCATGTGTAGTTTGTGATATTCGAGATATTCAGAAGAAAGAAGGTCCTGAGATAGTTTTCTTGTCAATAACCATTTCCAATAAGGGGAAGATTGATAGGTTACGTAAGCAATGCCAAGATAGTGAAATGTTTGTGGTTGATGCAGTGGGAAAGAGTGGAGGATTAACTATGCTATGGAAAGAGGAAATTAACATGTCATTAAGGAGCTTTCCAAGTATCACATTGATATGGGGTGG